GTGATTCTAATTATTGTTGCGGCCAGTCTAAATCAATTCTGTCCCGGCACACCACTCGATTTACAACACGTTTCTATAATAAAATAGATTAACGTACACAGCACCGTTCCGAGCCACGCAATAATTTTGCTTCTTAATGGTGCATACACTACTGTTATGACGCATAACTCTGGCGAATCCCTTTTTAAAACAAAACCTTTATACAATTTTGTTAGAGTTATTAAATAATATCTAGAATATTTACCTTAGTTATAGTAATTTGGTCAGGCAATAGAGCGTCGACCCTACGCTCACAATTTGCCCCGGCGATGCCCCTCGGCCTTACTTGAACTTCGGTAACATTGTTACTCAGTCCCCTGCGTCCCTCGAGGCGTTGAATGTCCCTACATCTGTTCCACAAGTCCAACTATAAAACTGTACCGTAGTTTACAGTCAACGATTTTATTTTATAGCCATTGTGCAATATATCCTGATGAGCAAGACTTTCATTTGGTCTCTTTGTTCCGTGGTGGTTAAGTCCGCTCCTAAAGGATCTCGGCCGATTGCAATTGAAAACTGCAGCCTCATTTTCTTCCTTGCTATTGTTTTATCCGCCTTTATTTCAATGGGGTTTCCTGCTTTAATATGAAAGCTAATTGTTTTCTTCGAGCAAATATCTGTATTCAGTAGTCGATAACAAAGGAGAGGGTGGTTCTCGTAGATTGACCAGGATTTCTCTATTTATCCGTGCAGGTGGTATTTCCCAGTATAAAATGTTTTTCTATCGTGTTGCCCTGGAGCGTTCATCCTCCCTCGGGATGAAGCAAGTCGTCTTAATAGACTTAGAGACGTTCCGTAGACAGAATCCCTTGGGGCTAACGTGTCCCCATCCCACCCCATGCTATACCATCAAAAAATGAGATTAGCTTCTTTTGTGAAGCGTCGTCCCGTTTATCTGAAGACATTTCGTTAATTCGTGGCTTTAATGAATCTCTTTTTAATGTGAAGTGTTTTCTTTGTTTTATTATTCCCTACTTTGTTGTGTTTAGTGGTGACTGGTGTTACGTTTTAGGATTCATAAACAATATGCTAACGACGTAGCACGAGCCATAAACAGTGGAAAACTGGGCATAGCGTTTGTTGCAATGGCACAACTTTAATTTACCTAGTTACCAAACAAAAGTTGTGAGTTGCCCAACGTAGTGGCAAAACCTCTGAAAATCAAAACATTATGTATGTTATAATGAAAAGTTATTGAAACAGAATAATAATAAATACGTAAATAGCAGTCCCTTGGAATGTAATTACCAATATGCGAATTTCATGTTACCATTATGGCAAATCAGCACGTGCCTCCGACATAAATATTCACATTATTGCGTTGCCCTAACGTTGAGCGATTTTTTTCTCGATCTCATGTTGTGCATTTAGATGTGAAGGGGATCGGGGCGTAACATATCGATGCAAAGCGACGGAGGGTGACGTGCGTTCGCCTACTGTTTAGCCATTATTTGCTATAATGTGGGTGAAATTTAGCTCGTTTCGTACAGCGTGCAATAATTGTCTCCGTTCTTTTATTTGGAACGCTTTTATTTATATCGTGGTGGGGTTCGCATCGAAATCCCGGATTATTTGGCTAACAAATTACATCGAATCTGTTAAGAATAGGACGGGCATGTCAATAAATCAATGTGAGGATTTATTGATGAAAGCTGACAAATGTTGCTATAGAATTTTGTACAGTCTCCCTCGTTGATGACGATGTAAAAATTGTTCGGTTTTACGTTGAACGTGTGATTAGTTGCGGTAATGTTATGTGTTTTCATTATATTCGGTGAATGCACATTTGTGGGACATTTATGACAATTTCCATTGTTTTTATCAGTAAATACAACAACTATTTTCTTCTAAGTAGTTATTCAAAAGGTACTTTAAAATTTCACAAAAATGTCGCTGAATAAGAAGTAGTTAGTAACTATCCACCACACTATAAAGTTACGAATAAAAACGTAGACAAAACCGAAAAAACCATGAACATAAACCTCAATATAGAAAATGACAAACAGCCAACAACAGAAATAAATAAAATTATCCGGAATCACTCAGTAGATTACGTACATTTCTGGCACAAATATTGTCTAGGTCAGACGGGGAAAACAGTGAAATATAGGAGTATACAACCACAAGGCACCGCAAGGCTACCCACAGTGATTAATGACTCCACACTATAACAAATATGTCGCATTCGTAAACGTATTCCAGGGTAGCAAATGTTCACGTCGAAAGCATTATTTGTTAAGTCATTGTTACTTTTTACTATACTAAGATCGAATGTTTTCAATTGCTTGTTTTTGTTTTCTTTTTGTTGTATATTAGTGTCATCTCTAGAAGTTTTATTTTGTGTTTTGTAGATTTTTTTTTAATATGGCTTTGGTGCTTAAATTGAGTTTTTAAACGTAGGTATTTGAATTGGTGTAGTAATCTAGCCTTATTTTATGCAGCTGTATGAGTTATGGCCTCAAAAAAATCAAACATATTCACAGAGGGCCTCCACCAATAAAACGAGTCCTAAATAAATACAATATTAACGCTAATTGTTACTATAATAATGTAAAACATATTTCTTACAATGAAAGGATATAGAACGTATTACTTTATAATAAAGACGAGGATCAATTCGCATGATCCCACAAATAATTCTAGCAACGTAACGTTCTGTTAATAAGATATTACTGTAGCTATGTGTAACCGCCTACCTTTTGTGACAAATGCTGATGTACAATAGTAAAAACTTTTAGAAGAAATTCTTTATTGATCACAAAATGGTTTTTTTCTTCTGGTAAGGCAGACTGATCATGAGATAGTCAGTAATCGTTCGTCGCCATCCTTAGACAGCCACGGCACCAGTGAGATTGTATGGGCGTTGCCTTTTAAGAGTTAGGAATTAGAAGATTGTGATATTTGGTAATTGCAAATTTGGCATCGAGAGGAGGTTGGGTCTAATAGAATCTCACTTACATAGTAAAGCACTAATAAAGCGCTGTTCACGGTTTCCCACCACGACGCCCGCTCATTCATGGCGAAACCTGGCTATGCATTTTTGGGAATTATATCTTCTTAATGAACTAATATTTTATGTTAGCTGAAGCATAGCTAAATTCGTTGTGTTATTTCAAGACATATTAAGAAATGAGGTGATTATATTGCTATTAATCCTTTTTTTGAGTGGGGCAAGACGTTGTATCAGATTCTTACTGAATAAAAACCATCCGTTTGCTTCTCCTGCTGCGGTAGGCCACGGTATATTTTTGCACTTGCACCTACAAGCCCACATCAGCGCTATTTGGCACCATCTTTGGTGGTCTCACAGTCCTAAGAAAATAATAATTATACCTTCCTAAATGAATATTTGCATCATCCATATTATTACATTTTATTATACCAGTTTTGAAGCATTAATTGCATAACACCGGATATAGACCAACATTAACCACTATCAAACTTTATTAGCACGACTAACAAATGCATCCTGCCAATCTAAAATTAAGGGAAGACAGAAACAAAAAAACAGATAATTCATTCGCAAAGTCAAAATCGTTTACTAATAAAGCTGTCTCTTAAATTGCTTTGGTTATCCCATTTCGTCGAGGATCGTACCTCATATTGCATTGAACGCGCCATTACACATCTAAATTACAAGTCGGACACACGATATGTCACGCCGCTTTATAATACAAATATCTCATAAACCCCAGTCATAAGCACCCACATTTAAATCTATCTATCAACATAATGTAGGTATAAAACAGTCGGGTCGGTTCCACTATTTATAGCTCGCAAACTGCTGGACAAATTTTCGTGATCTTTTGGCATGTTGAATTTGTCTTTGTCCTGTTTATTGAACTATTCTTAGATTTCAATATAGTTTAACACATCCAAACTAATATTATAAATGCGAAAGTATCTCTGTCTGTCTGTCTGTGTTTTCTTCACGCCTAAACTACTGGACCGATTTGATAGAAATTTGGAACAGACATCGTATGAAACTCGAGAAAGTACATAGGATTTTTTTATCCCGAAAATCCCACGAGATCATGAACAATGTGGGGAAACCCAAGAAAATGTGTGAAGTCTCTATTCCATGCGAACGAAGTCGCGGGCAAAAGCTAGTTTTTTGTTTTGTTCCAAAGTGTTGCACTTAAGAGATCCACTTGTAGTTACAGATTCAGAAGGCAGTTTTATCCAGCTTTAGTCTGCGTAGTTTTTCATGATGATATATGGGTGAAAAAATGAAAAAACACAGTGTCTTTTATTCAGGTCAGTTAAAAATAATATCTACCACTAAGAGGAAAAGGAAGGGAAAAGGGAAAAAATACGTTTGTCGAACATTAATTTCCCAGAATGATAAGGGGAAGCTAATGTATGCGAGAATACAATCTAGTCGATGTTGATAAACAGATTTGACTGTATTCTAGTCGACTATACGAGCTCTTGTGTAGGTTGGAGTATTTATCCTACCAATACTATAAACGTAAAAGTTTGTGAAAATATACGGATGTGTCGGTTGTCTTTCACGAAAGCGGATAGCCCAATTTGGTTGAAATTTGGGTAAGGACCCTGGATACTTATATAGATTGCTTTCTGTCAACTAGATCTACCAATAATAATCAGAAACTAGTTTTTTTTTTATATTTATAGTTTAAATAAACTAGAAACTAGTACATAATATCTATTACTGAGTAAAAAAAATACAAAATCCGAAGCCAGATTGAAGGAGTACACTTCACAAGCCTTAACCTCCAAGTCACCACGACATCACCACATATTATGTAATACTAATATACAAATACACACATATTGTAAAAGCTAAAGAAGTAAAAGTACACATAAAAATGTAGTCAGGGATTGCTATTATAAGTCCCTTTTAACAGGGGGTTCATAAAATAATGTCAGATGTTCAGCAATATGATAAAATAAAAACAAAAACTACTGTTACTGAAAGTTTTCATAAAACTCCAAAATCAGTTCTGTAGTGTGTTGAGGTCATTGGTGAGAGTCTCAATCTGCTTGTGGCACTCCTCGATGGAGCCGGGCAGCTTGCTCTCTGTTTAAGTAAAATCGTAACAAAAGCCCTTGCAACAATTTTAAAACAGTATGAACTCGCGATGTTTAGCGTAACGACATTTAAAAATATTTACAAACACATCCCTATTTCAGGAAGCATAGAGTATATAGTTTTATTACTTACTCGTACTTTTTATAGTCTGTGAATGACTTGTAGCATCTGTGGTGGATTCAATTTCCCCTACTTACACAACTTCCGTTACTTAGCCTTGTATTGGTGATAAAAAATTTACAACTCTTTTATTTTTCAGTTGACGGCTGAAACGAAAATAGTTTAATGTTCCCTTTTTTAATTGCCCGCAGATCATAATACACAGTTGTATGGTTTGATATTAAGATTGAACCTGCAACTGCTATTATTGATTTAGTTATCGTCATCGTCGTATTCAGTAATGTTTTTCGTTGATTTATTGCTTCCTATAAAAAAAAATACATTTCCTATTTTCAGTACCTAGTAAAAATGTGAATCGGATTTCAATAGATTTTTGTATTCTGTGTGAAATTACTGTTTCAGCAGTATTTACACTAATAGATACCAAGCATAACCACATTCAAACAGATAAAACTAAAAATAAACATACATTAAGTAGTTGCCCATTCATAATAATATAAAAAAATATATTACCGTCTCGCCGAATAAAACGAATTCAAACGCAATAAAACGAAAATATAACAACTTCGTTAAAAAAATTACTCACAGAAATTAATTATTGGAGCTTGTTGACAAAGTCATTCGGTCCCCAAATGTGCGCTGGCGCAGTCATCAACAGAACATTCGTTTGAAACATGTGGCACCAATTAAAGTTCTTTTACCAAGAGGATAATAAAGATAAGAGTTGAATAATGATCTGTGGAGAAACGTTTTACGAATGACTGCCACTTGAACAACTGACAAAGTTATTAATAACTGTGTAATTCAACGTTTAATATAAAATAACTCGTTGCTGTTAATGTCACAAATATTACAACCTCATTGGTTGGTTACAGAGTCACAAGTGTAGCTTGACATCTCCAGTTAAATCGACTGGTATAACAAATAATAATTATTTAAAATTTATGCGAGTACTAGTTGACCCGGATGTCGTACTGGCAAACAGTAAATAAATACTTTGTTCTCACCTTTTAAAATTTGCCAGGGCTATTTCTATTCAAAAATTCCAAGATTAAAATGAACGAAATCGGTGGAGTAATTCTTGACGTTTAGCAAGACTAACGAGTAGCTATTTATTTTTATATATAAGATAAATATCATTTTTCAATGTTTACTTTTAATATTGGGTATCCTACTAATGATGTAATGGGTGAACTTATTATTGTGTTGTTACAAAGTTATGTCAATAACCTTAAGTAAAAGATTCCAAGTAACAAACAAAACCCAACTTGCACACACCCACGTTCGGCCAATGACAGTTTTAGGTCTTAACTTGATAAATGGCGGGCCTATCGCTGTTTATTATAATCACAGCTCTAATCCAGCTGCCAGAATATTCTAAGACAAAACTGTTATATTACAGTCACTCTATAACATATTACAAGAAACTGAAGCCCTTACAAATGGTGCTATAGCAAATTGAACTTTATTCACTTCGAATGATAAGGTCAGTTGGCTTTTTGACTCCAAGTGGTTCTACGAATTGAGCAGACCAACAGTTCTGAATTGCAGTAACTAGGTAACTGCCCCAATCGATAAATGGTACGCCGATTGAAATCGAAATTGCTTGACGGCAGAGCACTAGAGTCCGACTGTGGAAGGTATTTGAAGCATTCCATATTGGACAACAGCAAAAAATACTTCAATCTGTGCAAAGTTATTTAGGCATCCCTTTGTGCCCGTCTGTTTGTTCCTTCATTCCTATTAAAAAAGTATTTCATATTTGGAATCTGACTGTCGTGTTCTATATTTGAATTTTTAGTTTGGTAAAACTGACGATGCAACTCGATTTGAGCATTATTTTTACATAAATTGACATTGCGATTGACACGTATACATACGTGTTATTAATATGATAACTTTTCTAGGCTCTGATATTATTTAAATCAGAATTGGCTGGTTTGGGATCAAAGTGGATACATTTTAATAGTAAAAAAATTGCTTGCCCATTAATTTTATAATGTAACTTTCGGAAATGTTATTGAGCTCTAGTTCTTAAACTCAAAGTTTTCTTAACTAAACTGGACACTTACATATGACATTGAAAGAGTTTGTATTAAATTCCGATTACATTCTAGCACAGCATTAGACTACCGTAGTAAATTCACATTAAATCTTCAGATCAGTAGTGGTACAAAACTTACTGCAATAAGATTATGAACTTTCATGTTGAGATTAAGTGTTAGTTACTGGGAAACATTCTTAACAATTTATTACAGTACATTTAAGGCATCAATGCTAGATATTTTACAGTTTAACACCAATATCTCAAGCGGCACAAGGACATAATCGTAGTGCCAGCAATTGCAAACTGCAATAACTAATAAACTACAATATTCATAATAATAAAATACAATAATCTGTAAGGTAAATAAAAATTATGACCATAAGCACCGAGTCCTATCCTTTGAATGTCATAGTAATTCTTTTAAATTACAAGCCCGTATTAAGGCAGGAAACTGCAATAATGGTTTGCATAAGCGACTGGTCGACGGGTTCAATTAAAATTGTAATTAATTGCTGTGCTCAGAGCACTGACAGGTTCACGGCGAACATCATTCACTTTTATATTTATGCGAATCCACTTGACAGGTGAGGAACGATGCTCATCTTTTTCTAATACTCGTTCGGTTTATTTTCAACACCCCGACCTCGTCTACCATTTTACAATTGATTTAAAAAAGAATTTAATGCATACATAGAATCCCGAATCAAAAATAATCTAACAAATATCAGCAAGAACATTTCTTAAACAAGTTATCTGCATATCCACTTAGTCGATATAGCAAAAGTATACGCAATATGTAAATATCTTGTGTATCCGAACTCGTAATGTGTGTCAAACTTGTCAAAGCCATAAATACTTGGTATAATATCTTGACGTAACTGTGATTGGTTAATCGCTGGGATATTCAGCAAATGTATGGAGATAACTCCGTAAGTTAGCTACTTATCGAACTCGTGGGGAACTTGAGCGAATACATCTTACTTTGGTATAGGCATGTAAACGACATTAAATATACGTTTGGATTCGATATACTTGGAACTTTGCAAGTTCCTAACGACCGATTCAATATTTTCTATTTTTATCATAAGTATCGCAAATAAAATAAAAATTTACCAAAAGTTTTGTTCAGAAGTAAGCAAGAGACCGAATTTGTAAACTACTGAATGCTCGATATAAAGTTGTAGTGTTATAACACAAACAAAAATAGTAACCAATGTTTATTTTGCTGCGATTTTTTAATAATACGAGTATGTGTACACAATCCTAATTAACCATCCAAATGTTGTTTTGTGACCTTTTGCGAAGCAGTTTGGACAACGTTCGACTAAAAATAAATGTTAGCCATATATCACAGCCAATATTTTGTAAATGAATATTGATTGTCAAAAATACATTGCGAAGGCAGTTTGGTGCGAATGTTTGTAATTTTAGCTCAAAACAAACGGTGATTTAGATGTAGAGAGATTTATTTCAAAAGTTGCTTGATCTGTAAATAATTTTACGTATGCATGGAGAAAAATGAATTGGATTTTTGAAGTAGGTTTCTAGTGGTTAGTACAAGCACTTACATTGAGAGGTACTTATGTTATTCTCAGGTCTCGGACTGTGTAGTTGACAGCTTATAAGATATTTAACACTTAGGAAATCTGAGATACAAAATATTATTTTAATAAAATGAGCGTGGAATTTAAATGAGTGTTTGTGAAAGGACGTTGACATTGTAGTGTAGACAAAAAATCGTGTCTGCGAAATTATATGAACAATTCTTATTTCTTTTTTTTATAAATATGACGGGAAACGAGCTGACGAATCGCTGGCGAACAAAGCATGGACATGGTTTGAAGATTGGAGGATTACGGAGATGAGGATTAACTCCTCTTCTCCAATTCTCAGATAATGACACTTTTTCCGTCAGGCTTTTTTTTAAGATGAAAAGTCATCAAATAAGTTCTCCCACTTCAGGTGGGGCAAGAGGGAGTTTGAGATTTTTATAGAATGCAAACTATGACGTTCCGTCTCCTGCTTTAGGCCAAACCGCGCTTGTCCCGCAATTCCGGGGTTCTGTGAGACTGTCAGAACATGGCCGTTATGAATTTTCATTAATTTGGACAATTCTCGTATTGTCATCGACAACTAACACCTTGTTGACCTTGACCCGTTTTCGCCAACGTTGAATACCAATTCAGTAAATCAGTAGTCTACTAAATCAAATATATCAAAGATACTGTAAAACATGCAGTACAGTACTCCATATGCTCTCAAACTGATATATGTTAGACAAGTTTTAATGTGTTTAAGAATTTTCTGTGTCGGCACAATTGGAAAACGTAATTTGTATCAGTAACTCTCTATGTTATGAAGAAAATTGTATTTTTTTATGAATGTTGTGTACAGTCATTACTGGACTGCAGATTTATAATTTGTGTGTAGTGTAGTAGGTATTCAATTTTGTAATTTTTGGTTCACTGGCTGTTACTGTAGGTACCTATTGAATAAAAATAAAATACTCAGTTAAGACATGATCATCATCAGCTTCCCTTAAATCTGCAATTTTAAACAACAATATTTTAATACTATACATAGTGCTAATCTTAGTACAGGAATATTAAATAAACTAATTACAAACAATACTACAGCTGATCTTAAAGCTAAAGCTAGTTGGAAACAACGGAAGCTGCAACAGTCAACTGCGAGGAACTGGTTGGCATCACTCGAGTGATTAAAATGAACTTACCTTTGAACTAACTTGTTTATTGTGACCTTTATTAACTGTTAATTGAACAAATTAAAGTTGAAATTGGACAGTTGTAACTGTATTTCGTTCAGTTAATACGTGTTTATTTAGTTTTTATATAGGAACTATTGTGAGGCATACAAAACTAATTTAAAAAGACGATTGATCCACGTGAATAAATTGTGAAGAGTAAAGTGCGTGTCGCAGCGATGCATGCTCATGAAAAAGAGTCCCGTTGAGACTCGAAACTAGTAGAGCTTTTGTCAGTCACTACACGTGACAACAGAGTACAACCGTATGTCAGTGGTGTCTAAATAATCATAGAAAGTACATATAACTCGAAAAAAGTCACATTGGTACTTACCAGGTTTCGAACCCACAACTTCATGTATGAGAAGCAGGTTCCTTAACCTCCGGGCCACCACGACTTACTTCATAACAACATAAACTATACTTATGTAGGTATACTTATTTATAGTGAAACTAAAAGTGCATGTTGCCATAATTTTATTTGGTCGTGTTTGATAACTAAAGTGACTATTAGCCATTAATTTAAAATGCATTGCCTTCATTTATTATCATTCTCGATTTAAACTGCACCATATTTCACTGGAATTTTGACCCAGTTTTGGCTAGCGTTCTGGTTTTTAACCGACTTGTCGACTATCACGTGAATAAGCGAAAACTCATTTATGGAAAGAGAAATTAAAGTTGGATTTCAATCTTTTTTAAATGTAATTAGTAAATTTTACTAGTGCGAGAGAACTTGTTGAGCGAATTTGGCTCTTGAGGATTGGTGCTATAATGCTAACTTTTGTCTCGTGTTTGTATTTTTAACTTCATTTTAGTGCGACATGACCATCTACCAAGTTTTAAGATACTGAACAGAACTAGTCTGTGCCTGCGAAAAGCGAGCATTCTAGAGCCAATTTCCAATCTTAATTCTGTGTTAAAAAATCATTATAGGTAAACCAAAAACAGAACAAATACAACTTTTTGGAATGTATCTAGAATCGTACGAAAAAAACAGTTTTTAGAAGTAGGCACACCCTTTTGACCCACAGTAAATAGATACTCGATACTATACCTATCTAAACATAGGAGGAAAATCTTTCACAAAGAATATGTTACCCACATAAGTATGAAAAGACTTTGTATCGTTCACAATAGGACGGGATTGATCGGGTCCCTTCGGACGAGCATTTTATCAGCTCGTGGCAGTTGAGAGGCATCCGTTGTCCCGCGTTCACATAAATAGGTCTTGAGAGGTTCCACGGATTAACCTGGGAAGGTACTAATAGCATCGGCCTATCAGCGAAAATGTTTTTGGGTCTTTGTTAAGCTGTTCTTTCCTTGAGCTTATCGCTATTTGTTATTCTCAGAGCACCACAAAAGTTTTAGGGTGTATTTCACCTTTAGTTAGATATGGCCACAATCAACGTAACTTGAGAGTTCTAGCAGAAAAAATGCTGCCTTTAAAAATAGCCCCCTGCCCTTTCTTCGAGACCTCTAACATATACATTTTTGCTTCTTTTCGCTAAAAAATATTATGTTATTAAGATCAAGTAAAAATCTAGTAATGACACGGTTCCCTTCGATGAAAAAACCAAGCATAAGATTTATAAATAACGTCACGATCAAACAAGAGAAAAATACAAACACGAAACCAATATCATTCCAGCTGAGTGGATCCTAAAGAAAAATCTCGTGAAAGAAAAGACAGAAGGCGCTTACTAAAACCGTTCAGTAATTCGGCAACACTGTTCAATAAGATGCTGACATCACACAATAGATGTGCCATCAATTTTGTTCACTAAATCGTTCAATCTTGTATAAAATTCATGGGGTGTAGCAGCAAGGAGAATGATAAATAAGTCGGAGGCTCGGCCGAATATTCTCATTTAATACGTGACTTGTTTTGAGAAAACATCCCTTAGATATGAGTATCGCGATGGATGGTAATGCTGGAATGTTATCTATCACACGTTGTTATCAGTTTGTGTCTGTCAGAGGTTTTTTTTAATGGAGGTATCGGGGATGCGTTGTGTACAAGGTTTCTTTCGCGAGCTTGAATGAATCGAAAATTTTGTTAATATTTAAACTTTAGAATCGTAAGTAGTATTTTTTACAGGATGGTTCACTATCTGTGAATTTTAATATGATACTTTAAATGTTGACTTGTCATTCCTATTTAAAAAAAATGTTATACCATTTCACATAAATATCACAACTAAACCTAGAATTTTAATTTATAGACAACACAAGGAGTTGTTTGGTGTGAGACTCGAACCCACAATACGTTTCAAGACTTCAAGTTGCACAGTCACATCGACAACTGTGCATTTAAAAGTATTTGTACATAATATTATTGAAACGATATTTTCAAACTTCGACCAAGATTTTCAATAGCTATGATGCATGTTGTGTAACGGTCAACAAAACAATACTATCGTTCACAGTTCATTGAATACACTGTATTGTGTATAATCTACGTACTCCGTTATAGCTCTTATGTCCTTCGGAATAAGATCAAAATTAACTCAACCGTTAATATAGGCTACCTTTCTTAAGTTTCAATGTTAAGAACTATGTGCCTAGTATCTATATTTATAAGATTTGTTCAAAAGGTTTCGCAGAAAATGAAGGATTTATTTATTTAGGTGAGTGAGTCTAAAAGGATTCTTAGTTGACTTGGCAATCAAAAGACAATTTTAAGTCTCAATATAGCAATGACAATTGCCTTTTTACTGTAACAATGTGTTGAATAGAGATTTATTTTTTAAAACCGAGGTTAATTTATTTTTCTATATGATTGAGTTTGTCAAAGCCATGCTTGGGCTTAAATGGTTCAATGGCTTGTCCAGAGTGATATCACGGCATTACAGAAAAATTGGCTTAACTACGCTTATTACTGCCACTGGCTTAATTCTCCATCTTTAATCCACAAATCTACAAACTCTTAGATTTCTAACCCTCCATAAGGCTGATCATCTGCAATTGTGGGAGAGCCATGCTTCGCCACGAATGGATCGACTCGACCGGAGTGATACTACTGCCTCACAGAAAACCGGCGTGAAACAGCCACGGCGTTGTGTTTCGCCGTGTGAGTAGAGTTACCGGGGGCCCGGTCCTTCCCCTCCCTCAATTTCCCCTCAATGCCTAAATCTCCAAATCCCTGGTCCCTAAAGGGTCGGCAACGCACTCGTAACTCCTCCGTTGCGGGTGTCCATGGGCGGCGCTGATTGTTTGCCGTCAGGTGGTCCATCTGCTCGTTTGCTGACCTATTACATAAAAAAACTATTTCAGTATTAATTAGAAACCTTTTAGTATTGGATGAAGAACAAAAAAAAAATTTTTTTTGCTTGCTAGCAATTAATTGGCTGGAACTATCTTTTCCTGTAGAAAAAGCATCTTTCATTAAAACACAAATTACTATTATTTTGTGATTTAAAATACAATTTATATAAGGGGTAAATTTGAGTTACACAAATCCAACTGCCATCAAAATGGCCATATGTATCTTTTTTGACAGACTTATAAAAAGGAAGTTCTCCGCTAATCTGTAAGTATATATGTATATGTATGATTGTCCGTGATTATCAACACTATTATATGTATTAACACACATTATCGTTAAACCAAAATAACAAATGCTATACCACAACATTAATTACACGGTTCTTTCTTTTTCTGTGGCCAATTCGTCCGTCATGGAGGCCGTTGGCATAGTGCCTCGAACGATACCGGACGCGACGGCTAACATCCGTTTCCTGAAAATGGCAGACAGTGCAAACGGTTCACTTTTATTGTTTTTGTCTCAACAAAAACTGGAATGAGGTGATTAAGAAAGAGATTCCATTTGTATAACGCTTTTAATTAACTACCTAGCTTTTATTTTCGAATTAAGTACGAAATGAAGTAATTAGATGTAAGTAGGAAAAACGTTTAACGTACTTTAGCTAGTTTTGATGAATTATCTTGAGGAGAGCAGCAATTTTATCGTTTCAGATTTTAGTATTGAGAAGAATTTGTTGCTGAATAAGGACTTTTTACCTATTAGATATTGTTTCTATTTGTGACCCATTGATTTACATGGTAACTGCAACAGTGTTGTCTGTTCGCAAAAACGTAGGATTGATATCTCATAATTCTGTGACCATATGCAAGTTGAATTTCTATTAGTAGATCTAAAGAGCCTCAAAAAAATCTAACTCATTTGTAGTTAAAGTTTTCATAGAATTATATCATTTACATTTTCGTTTAGTTTTATTATTCCCTTATTTTAGAAAAGCAACAGGGTACAGGGAGTCGTATGTTGTGTCTCCGGGGAACAAATTTTGCCTGTTTGGACATTGACCACGAATGGACGACCAGATAGATGGAAAGACAAACACTTTCTTTGTATAAGGGTAACATTTATACCCCATAGCTAAGGTACCTCTAAAAACGTGTGAAGCCTCTTGTTGATTATCTTCTTGATAACATCGTAAGTGTGTCTGCTGAGCATATGGTTTGTAAGTGGTTTCATTCGCTTGTGCTTACTTATTTAGTGCAAGCACAACTTACATATGTATAATCAGGCCTTTAGAGCGTTTTAATTTTTTATAAGGTTTGGTGGCAAACGACCATCCATCATCTGACGGTAAGCAATTGGTGTCAACTGTAACGCCATAGATGTTAAAAGGAATTTGGGGGTGGTTAGGAATTAGAAGATTGGTGAATTGGTTATGGAGGGGAGTATATTTGGGGCTACGTTAATTTCGAAATTACGGGTTACTCACGTGTACATATTGAGAAAAGCACTACTAGTTTTGAACCACAGAGGGATTCTTCCTCATGAGCAGCGTGCGCGGACGCGGCGATGTCACGCAGCCTACTGGCCTGCCTCTGTGGTTCGAAACTAGTAGAGTTTTTCTTTATATATACACGTGAGTAACCCGCGATTTTTAATTAATGTAGTATGTCTGACGGTAGTTATAAACACATACGTTAATTTCACTCAAACGGCGAAACACAACGCAAGCATTGCTTTAGCCAAAGTTACGCGTGCAAACCTAGTCTTGTACCGCGGCCCAGTCAGAAGAAACGGGGTGGTTTTTAGTCAGTAAGAGTCTGGGTGTCAGACTCTTACTTACTAATCTCTCTCTCGCTCTACCCAGGTTGAGAGAAACCATTTGATGATTCCCCTACCCCCTTCCCTTCTCAAATAAGCGTTATTTCACGTTGCGTCGCTTTACCATAATAATATATGTACCTACTCTTCTACGAAATACGATGTTCATGGAAAATATCGAGATATTCCAATTTCTCAACCAAATGAAACTGACTCATCAGTTTAATTGCGCTTAAAACATTGTCAATATTTTATTTAAACTGCAACCCCAATGGAAATCCTTTCAAAAGTCTTTCTTTCCAACTGATCTCCGGTGAGTCTGAATATTTTAATATGGTCGCAACACGGCAACATTGCAGTGCGTTTAATTAGTTCCTTTAAGCCCAGCTTAAAGTGTAAGTCAATAGCAAATAAAAAGCTAATTAGGCCCTAGGTACCTGGAATTTAAACCTTTAGACCATCGAGGGCGTGCGACCCGATTCAACTTTATTTGTAGGCCATATTTTGTAGAAAAAAATAAAGATCGAGAGTTTCTTTATTGTGTTGGTTGCGCAAAACTGATACTTTAGTCTTTGAACAATAGAAAGAAAAATTTCTAGAAGAATTGCTTGCTTTGGAAAGCAAATTCAATTCTATTCTCACCAGATTTCATAACCACTTACTCGTAAAATTTGTCAGTACTAATTTATTGTTTATATCATAGAGCGGGGCAACGTGTTATTAAAAAAATGAACGCACAATGGTGCAAGTTGGGACAATATCTTCTATTATTCTTATTCTCTGGATTTGAATTAAATTTGGCCAAGAGATATATAAAAGTCTAAAACAAACACCTAGGCTACTTTTTACACTGGTACTGTGAGCGAAGCCACTCGCAAAAGCTAGTTTAGCACAAATCAAATAAACCAAAAACAAACATAACCTTTATTAAAATGAAATAATTGTCTGACTGAATCATACATAAAATAAATAGTTTCATTATGAAAACCAAACAGAATAGAATAGCGTAATAGAAAATTAACCAAATACCAAAAACAAATCAAGAAATATAATCGGGTCCAAATTAGTTTGTTGTGTGTACACTCAATTCGAAACTGTTAATGTAAACAGGGTGTTAAATTGAAACAAAACACTATCACTCGTGTTCACAGACGACCCTAGATTGTGAGAATGCACACACATGGTGACTTGACTCTGGCAGCTCACTGCTATTGTGTTTGAGATAATATGTATGTATATTTCTTACAATTAATTTTTAATCATTCATCTACATGTTCAAAGTATTTCGTCTCTATGTGTCGGTACTCACATGAGGTTTTCTGTATATATGAAATTTTTTTACGCATTAATCTATACTAGCAATAATTTCAGTGAAAATTGGGATGTGGTTACCTACCTATAAAACTTTTGGTTGTTCGTAAAGTTGAGTTGGTGAGAAATGCCAACCACGGGTTTGTCCCCAGCTCATTAAAAGTCGTAGTATTCTATCACTCCTTCAGTAGAACTTACAATGTTAGTAAGTCCATGTTACCTCACGAACCTTTTCTTTTATTTCTTACTTCACCGTATATATGAGGCAGCTTACTTAGGCATTGCAACCATGGCTAGAATAATGTAAGACCCACCACTTGATTGTATGACAGAATTTCTGATTCAGACTGTAAGTTGAAGGGTGAAGAAGGGATTGTCACTAAAACCGAGCCGCTACCAGGATGGTAGGTAATGTTATGCTAGAACTGCGACCCGCACATACATCGAGTCGCCATCGCCAATAAACAGCTACTTAAATTGTACTGTAATGAAAGGGCTATCTGATTGATTCAATGGTTATTTTAACCAGTAGGCTGCGACATAATATATATCTAAACAACCTTACAAAGTATGCGATTCGGAAAGTTGGAGCTGCTTAGCTTAGCTCAAGGGCTGATAACGTCCTTTTCCGCTCCCCATAAATAGGCCCACGGGCGAGGAAGAAGTCCCCGTCCCGTATTCGGTGGACCCGAGGTGTACGAGCTGATGCACGTGTTAGTTCAACACCCCACTACCCCGTGCAGGAGACGAAGTCCGTACTAAGTGGACCAGCACTAGTGTAGGGTTGCGAAAAAATGTAAATTCCCGTGACATCACGCGCACGTGCGAGAACTCTGGGGTGGTTTTAGCCGGTAAAATTCCGGCAAGTCCCTCCGCCTTTTCCAGGCCGGACGAAGTCAATGAAGGAGCAAGCGTCTTAACCTCACTCAGAAGTCATCTTTATAACTATAGACATAAGTCATGTTGTACCAAACACATAACAAGATCAGGTACACAAGAATACGCCTACACATATCAAAATCTCAACGTACACAAGCAACCTAGATTATTAATTAGTATAAACGGATCCTGGCAAATTGCCGGCGGCTAATTGGAATTAAGTAAAAACATTGTTGATCATCGTCATTGCGGTGTACGTACCTAATGAACGGAGTAGTTTTTTTTACCTAGAAATTAACAACGTTTAACGTTTTTGCGTTGGATTGTGTTTGAAGGAAATATCTTTTTACTTTTTTGTTTTTTTTTTTTTGGCTTCGCATGATTGCAATGCTGATACTAATCTTCCCCTATTATTTATATATTTAAAATATGTTCATCTGTGTCATCTTTAGTCATTCTATCTATATAAAAAACGCATCAAAATCCGTTGCGTAGTTTAAAAATCTAAGCATACCTCGCATATAAGGACAAAGAAAGCGACTTTGTTTTATACCATGTAATGATGGTGACAAATAAATTTATTAGCGTAATCGTTATTTCTTTGAAATACACTCCATTTTTATAGTTAAGTAAACATTTGTTTAAATCCTTTTCGAGGACAATAATACTGTTTCCCTTATTTAACCTACAAAAACTCTACGTACAGTTACCATTTTACAAAAATATATCAAACATTGAGCTAATCTTAATGTAAATATTCACACAGATAGTCATCATTCGTAATAATATAAAATGGCACATATAGTCAATCTAAAGGTAAGACCTTTCAGCTGAGTCAACAACGAATCCTCTACCCTAGGACGTCCATATATCTCCATCGGATTATCTTGCATCTAAGCACACCAACGCTAAGTTCATTAACCCCAAATTCGTCGCACTTTTTTGCCAATAGGAATTAAATCATAAACGTTGGATGGTTAAACACGGTATTTTTCTTCGAGCTGTGATCATCATTCAACGTCAGGATGTAATGAGGCAGGACTCGGTTGCGTAGAAACGAATACACATAAATCAGAGGAAATTATTCACTCACGCCTCTCAACTTATTTAGATGGTGACGTATCCTATTTTGTGAATGCATTCGATGTAGTCGCGTAGATGTGTCTAGTTGCACTGTTTATACCTACTTATCGATTTTAATATGAACATTCTTTTTTTAAGTGATACGACGGCAAATGTGCTGACGGATTATCTGATGGTAAGTAATCAACGCCGTCCATTGACAACCGCAACAACGGAGGAGTTACGAGTACGTTGCCGACCTTTTAGGGGTTAGGCATTTGGAGTTTTTGGGACTGGGGGACGAGAAGGATTGGTCGTCCGGTAACCACACTCACACGGCGAAACACAACATAGTAGATGTTTCACGCCGGTTTTTTGTGAGACCGTGGTATTATTCC